TTAATTTATTTATAAATTAGCTCATTTTTTCAAGTTTTTATTCAAGTTACGTAATTATGTAATGTTCGCATGTTTTTATAAAAATATATTATATTTATTTTTAAAAAAAAAAGAAAAACACTTGAGTCCATTTGATTATTTTTCAATCAAATGTCAACACTTGATTTTTTTTTTTTCCATGTCGTCATCTAGTTAAATATAATAGTAGTCTATAATTTTACTTATGATAAAGTTCAAGTGCAATAGATATAAACAAATTGACTTATGGTTTGTCCTTATTTTTCTTATATAAAGGTAATTATATTAAAGATAAAACGACAATATATAAAACCCAATTAATTTAATAAGATGAATTAAATGGGCCTTGGTAGGCACAGGTTCATCCTTGTTAGAGTATACTCATAAAATTGACTTGTTGAGTGCATTTTCTCCATTAAAATTGTAACCATGCTCCGTTTCAAAAAAAAAAAAGCGTGATTCAAATTCCATCACCAGTGTAATAATTTTTGTTAATAGCATGTAACTTGGAAGTATTTCAGCTAATGGTATTTGAATTATGAGACTTATTTGGCCTAGATAAACCTTTAAGACCTAACATATTCGAAGAAAAAACTGTCTACAAATTTCTATTAAAATATTAAAAAATTAAATTCAACCTAAAATGTGATATTTTAAAATTTAAAGGAAATGATGGTGTAATTTAAAAAAATTAATTTATTATTCACATGGCATATTAATTCTTACTTTTCTTTACTTGGATGGGTAAAATAGTCTTTTTAATATTGTTTAAGAGCAGTCCAATCTTTTTCCTATCTCGTTTCTGGATGGAAATGAAAGAGGGTAAAACTCATGTAATTAGTGTTTACCCTATCATTCGGCTGATAAATCTAGTGTTATCCACTAGGCGTTTTACTTATTGTCCAGCTGTTGCCTGTCATTTGTGCGTTTTACAAAAAAAAAAAAAAAATCATTATAAATAGATAATTGGAAACCAACACTTTTTTTATTAGTCACATGTGTCCTTCAACAATGTTAATTTTGATCAACATATAATTAAATATTAAATATGAACACTTCTTTTAAATAAAATTTGAATGAAAATCAGTACGTTAAGTGTATAGATCTAATTACCAAATATCTAGCATTCCCTCACGCTTGGCACCGATGAGCCTTTACTCCTGAAATTCAGAAAGAAAAAAAGAAGTGAGTTAGACAAAGAGAGAAAAAACTTGAACAAAAAAAAATAAAGTGACTTAGAAAAAATTTTTTTATCAATAACCTTAAACCAATTAATCAAATATTGATTAATACGTAATCAATCGAACCCTACTTGAAAATGATTATTCTGTTCAGAAATAAAATATTCTAAATGTTCTTGAAAATTCTTACAAGTGAGTCTCACATGAATGGTAGCAATATGTCCTCTTAAGTGTCATTTCATAATTTGATTCCTAAAGGTGTACAAAGAAAGTATTACTTAAAAAAAGTTAACTTTTTAAATGATATTTAAATTTTTCAAAGGATTAGTATCATAATTGACGGCCAAAGGATTCCCTGAAAAAAAAAAATTACCTTGAGAAATAATATATATACACTTATATATAAGTGTGTGTGTGCATGTATGTGTCTATAAGATTAATGATACTGTGAAAATGTTGGATTCCCATAAATGCGCTTTACCACCCCTTTTTCTTAAAACTTGTAGCTAAACTTTAAATGGAAAGAATATTATTTTCACGTAACTTCCCTGAAAAATCCGGCTTTTATTATTTATATTTTAAATATTAAAGTCACATAAAATTTAGTCATTAAAAATTCCTACATATTTGTTTCAAGCATGCAATTAGTTTTATTCGCAGTTTTGGTGATTTTTTTAACATAAAATTAAGCATGCTCTTCCTTTTTTTGTTTTACTTTATGCTTAAAAAAAAAAGACGTCAGAAAGTTGGCTTGAAAAACCAAAAACAAAGAACTAGTGAACACGAATGAAGGAAAATGATCGAAACCTAGTTTTTTTTTATGGTAAATTTAATAGTGAAATCATTAATATATGTTGTATAATGTAAACCTGACATGTATTACTAATACTATGACTCTATGAGTAATAATGAAACTTTTGATCATCATATTGGCCTCAATTATTGATTTAGTTCCTTTAATTTAACTTTTATCGATTTAATTTTTTATATTTTTTAAATTATTTGTGAATCTTTTAAGTTTTAAAACATAAATTAACCCTTAAAATAACGGGTTAAAGGGCAAATCTATATAAAAAATAGTCGACTAAGGACACCCAGTATTATAAAGTGAGGAAGGGGGCATAAATACCCATAATGTTACATGAGTGGGTGTAGAAGTGAACAAATCATTAACTTTGCCCTAATGGCATTAGTTTCCGGTATTAAATGCTGACTGTGTATGCTACATGTCAATTTTTGCTGACTTGAACTAAAAAAGAGATAAAAATACCTAAAAAGCGATGAGCTAGGGCATCCAATAATATAAAGTGAAAAAAAATATCCACAACGTTACTAAAATTGTTGTAAAAATAACTAATATATCAAATCTCTTCAATGTTAACTGTCTAGCTGACACCTAAGCAAAAGTTAACTATTTTTTCATCGATGTGGATAAAAAAATGTTACTTTAGTAGGTGTAATAGTAACCAATATGTCAAAACTTGAGATTCAACATAGTAAAATAGGTTGTGCACAATTGAAAATTAAGACTAAGCACACCTCCTATGCCACCCTATCTTAAGAATAATGTCGCAACCTTAAGTAATTTCATTTATGATAGGTTTAAAATTTTTAAATGATTTTACCACTACTACAAAGAAGCGAGTAATTTAATTTGATGCTCGAGCAAAATGACATTTTCTAACGTAATATTTGTACGATGGCTGATTAACTTTTATAAAATTTCACTTAAGAATATTTTTTATTCATGTCAGTGAAAAATGATAAACTTTTGCTTAGGTATCAACTGAACAGTTAACATTTAATAGATTTAATGAATTGGTCACTTTTGCATCAATTTTATAACGTTATAGATATTTTTACCATTTTTTCTTACTTCAAGCTACTGGATGCCCTTGGCTGACCATTTTATATGTACTTTTGCTTTTTTTTTAGTCCACATCAAGAAAAATTGGCACGTGGCATACACAATCAGCATTTAACATAGTAAAGTAAAGTAGTTAGGACAAAATTAATGATTTGGTTACTTCTGCACCCACTCATATAACGTTATAAGTATTTATACTTCCTTTCTCACTTTATAATATTGGGGGCCCCTGGCCAACTATTTTTTATGTAGATTTGCCCTTTAACTCTAAAATAATTTAATGCATAAAGTATATTGATGAATTGTCATGTGTATGTAGTTAAATGAGAACAAATTAACCATCAAATAAATTTAATTTTTACCAATATAATCCTTTACACTATGTCTTGTTCTCTTATTTTTTAAAATTCCAGAGTCTTCTTTTTCTACCTAAATAATTATAATTTTTTATTAATCCATATGACTATAATTAATATTAACAAATTTTAATAACATTACCTTATTTTTAAAGAATAAGGACTAAATTGATAATTAAAGTAAATTTAAAAAATTAAATTAATAAAAATTAAATTTAATAGATCAAATTAATAATTAGGATAAATTTAAAAGACTAAAAGTTACATTATCTCAATATTATAAATTGTATAATATGCTAAACATGTTTCTCCTGAGCTACATGAAAAGCGAATTGTGTGACTGTATTGATATTAATAATAAAAATATATGATATCCTGTTTATTCCCTAATAGTTTAATGTATCGTCCAATTCTACACATGAATCATTCAACGTGAAAAATTAAATAAAGTTATATGAATACTAGTTAGGCCAATTTTTTTAATACAAGGCCATGATAAAACCATGTAAAAGAGATAAATATCAAATTATATTTATAATTATAAAATTTCTACAATCAAGCGGGAGATTATCAAGAATCCTAATATCAAAGTTATCTTAAGACATTTTTGTGGGCAAACAAATTAACACATCTGTTAGCTTCTCTATAAACATGATTAATAGTTATAACCTAATTTTCCATAGTAAAATTTCTGATTTTCTTAATAATTTCAAAGAGTGAATGTTTTTCAAAGTAGTTATACTAAAAAAGTAATAAAAGTTTCCATTGAATCAAAACAGACATTAATTTTGAAGAGTTTATCATTTCAACAAAGATTGAGACTTTTCAAAATCCCCATGAGCTTTGCTAACCTATCATGCTAAGATAATAATTAAGATATTTAGAAAATTTCTTAATCCAATCACCCTTCTCATGCTCGATGATACTTCCACAAGTGAAATCATTGTTGATATTAACAAAGTCATCAATATCAAGTTTAACCCACCTAAATGTTGAAAGGTTTCATTTAACTTCATATCTAACATCACTTTTGGTTAGGTGATTGATTTTAGATTAAAACCTTAGGTTATTGATTATTTACTAATTGCAGGAGAAGACAATATTGTTATCCTGAAAATCATTTTCTGAGTAAATTTTCTCACATCTTGTCCTCCATATGTTCACCATGCAACGGCAACAAGCGTTAGGTCAAATTTGACACCATACGGAGGCCCCAACTTCCTTCTAATTTTCCATCTTTTTCGCGAAAATATAGTATCTAATATTTGTCTATTTATCCAACTACATTTATTCCTCCCAAAAATAATAATAATAATGATATTAACAAGGCTAACGGTTTTCCTAGGCAACGGTTGAGTGTAAACCCGCCAAATCGAAAACCAACATTAAAGAAATACCCATTTTCATAATTGTTAAACATTTCTTCGCAGCGTGAGCCTTTGATTCGAATGTGAAAACCCAGGAAATGGCACCACAGTGTCTGTTCTGTTTGGTGGGAAGTTGCTATTTCACACATCAACCTTCTTCTGTAAGGCTGCTTCGCTATGCATGGTTGAGTTTTCAGCTTTCGCTTCCATTTCACTCATTCCTATCACCTACTCCTTCGCTTCAATTTGAATTCATACGAGCAAGCTCTGCTTTCGTCTGGTTTTTTGGACACCAAACTTGAACAATTCCTTTTCTACTCTCATGGATTGTTGGGTCGGCTTTAGAACAAGTGGCAGACGCAGAGAACTCAGAACAGAACTAGACTTTTTATTCTATAGGACGAAGCGAGAATGAGTCTTTAAACTGATGGTATAATGGGTAAACAAAGATCTCCCAGAAGTCCCCGTCCAGAGTTCCAGAAAGGTGAAATAGCATCAGGAATGAAGGATAATTACCAGACTAGATGTTCAGACAACTGGAGGAGGATGGCAGGGGGTGATCATTGCCGTTGGAATTCAAAAACGTTGTTGCTTCATGGGTTGAGAAGTGATTCTTCAAAGTACGGTTCTTGTAGGGGAATCTATGTTGGCAAAAAACATTTGTGGCTCCAAAAGCACTTGAGGACCATTCTTGTCATGTTTGGATTCATGAGTTGCCTTCTCTTTCTTGATTCTCTAATGGTCTCCTTCTTTGATTTTGCAAATCACCAACACGGTGCAGCCAATAATAACTCAAGTGGCTTTCAGGTAGAACTTTCTCAGATTATCTATCTGCGTTATTTTTGATTCTGGTAACCACAGAACATGCACAGTGATGTAACTGAGACCGTGTTAATATTAGTATGTAGTCTTTTCACTTTGTTTGTGTCAAAAATAGTCATCACACCAGCTTTAACCTTGTCATGATATATGACATCTGATGCATCTTTTGCTATTATCAGGATCGAATTTCATACATCAATAAGCGACAATCACCAGTACAGATGTACGATCGGCTTCTAAACTTGGCTTCTAGTGCCCTTGCAGAGGTTTGCATCAAAATTTTCCATCTATTTTGTGCATGTTGGCCGTTGGATGAAGTTACAGTTCTCTTTGTTCTAGTTTGTTTCCACCAAGCTTAGCTAGGCTAATTGCTGAAACTTACAATACTTTAGAGGGAGATCAAGCAAGAATCATCAAATTTTTGGGCGGAACCATATCGGCAGGCATCTTTATGGAAACCTTGTGCAGACAGAAAAGTTATGAGTAATCAAGGTATACGGTCCCTTTTTGCTTGTTGTCTGAAACATCAAGTCTTTTATCCAGGTATATACAATTTATGGTCATCTATGTGCTGTTATATGTAGAGATATTATGTTTGAACAGTGACTTATTATCAATTCACCTTCATTATATTATCAACAATGATTTAATATTCTGAAACAGGGAAATCTGTGAAAACTAATGGCTATATATTAGCCAGTGCAAATGGAGGACTTAATCAACAACGAGTTGCTGTAAGTATTGGAAGTTAGTGCGTTGGTTTTCAGGTTCAGAAATAAACTCCCATATTATTAATTTTTACAAATACAGATAAAGCTTCTATAATTGATCTGGCTTAGCATTAATCAAACTGAACTTTTGACAAGAAATTTAATCGCTTAGTCTATGTTATAGCCAAAAACTAAACTAACTTTGCAGGGTAGATTTGAAAAGTTTCTAACTTTGCTAGATATAACAGTACTTTATCATGGGTAATCCGATACAGCAAAGTTTGGATCCTAAACGTTAAATAGGATCTCTGGACACTATAATCATGTATGTCTCGTTGAGGCATATTTTCAATATCTTCATTCTTCAGCAATGGAAGTGATTGATTGCCAAAGTAATTACAGATTTGCAATGCTGTAGCTGTGGCATATCTCCTCAACGCAACCCTAGTTATTCCAAAGTTTCTTTACAGTAATGTATGGAATGATCCTAGGTACGATATCGTTTTTGCCTTAGAATAAAATCTGAAACGGCATTCTTTATAGCCTTTTCAAATGAGAAATATTTTTGAGTTATTGATTCACATGTTTGATGCACAATATGCAGCCAGTTTGGTGACATATATCAGGAGGATTACTTCATGAATATGATGAAGGATGAAATTAATATTGTGAAGGAACTCCCAGCTCATTTGAAATCTTTGGATATGGAAGCAATAGGCAGCCAGGTTCAGCATCTTATATATTATTGAATATCAAGACAGATTGAACTTGCTTTATAACAAAGTAAATAAATACTTTGCATTTTAGATTACAGATTCAGATCTTGTGAAGGAAGCAACAGCAAGTGACTACATTAAAATTGTGCATCCTATTCTTCAAAGAAATGGAGTTGTTCACTTCCTTGGATATGGAAATCGACTTGGTTTTGATCCATTTCCTTCTGATATTCAGGTCATTAAGCTTGCTTTTCAGTCTAGTTTTTCAAACTTTGACTTGGTTTTGATCCATTTCCTTCTGCTTACGGCTGAAAAAAATTGCAGAGGCTAAGGTGCAAATGCAACTTCCATGCTCTGAAGTTTGTGCCAAAAATTCAAAAAGTTGGTTCATTGTTGGTCAGAAGGATTAGGAAATACAATGCTGAGAGAAGCAATTTAGATAAACAGTTGTTGGGGAAGTTCATCCATAACAGTGAAGATCATGACGCAGCTAGAGGCTCAACCAAATACCTTGCGTTGCACTTAAGATTTGAAGTTGACATGGTAGCCTATTCCCTATGTGAATTTGGAGGTGGGGAAGATGAGAGAAGGGAACTTGGAGCCTACAGAGAAACACATTTCCCTCTTCTTCTTGAGCGATTGAAGAAATCACTGTACGTTTCAAACTCATTTTCTTCATTATGTTTTCCATGACATTATGTTTTGATCGATATACTAGTGATATGCGCTTAGCATTTATGTTGTAACTTGTAATATTGATCTTTGTAGCCCTATATCTCCAACGGATTTGAGGAAGTTGGGAAGATGCCCATTGACACCAGAAGAAGCAGCACTTGTCCTGGCCGGTCTTGGTTTCAAAAGTGGAACTTACATATACTTGGCTGGCTCCCATGTATATGGAGGAGACTCAAGGATGAATCCCTTCACTAGACTCTATCCCAACTTAGTCACAAAGGAAAATCTGCTATCACCCAGTGAACTAGCACCTTTCAGGAATTTTTCCTCCCAGGTAAGTAGGTATTCTATCTCAGTTGTAACAAGGGCCTTGGTTGTCAGTTCTCATTCATGCATTCCATTTTGGTTTACATATTTTAGATGAAAAGCATCTAAGATCCTTAGCACAAGATCACATTATTTTAATTATGACATCTCATATGAATTAAAATTCATATACATATCACATCCTTAAAGTTTTAGCTTTGCTAATTTTATAAAATGTTAATAAGGAGAATCTTAAATATCATATCTTAGTACAGCAAAATATCTAGAACAGAAAGGAATGCAAGAAAATTATGCTCTGAATGGCCTTTTAGTGCTTTCATCTGATATGAAGCTACTCAAATACTAGATTCATGTTTGATGTAAATGAATATATGCATGCAGCTGGCTGCTCTGGACTTCATAGCTTGTGCAACTGCTGATGTATTTGCCATGACTGACTCTGGAAGCCAACTTTCGTCAATGGTATCTGGATTTAGGACCTATTATGGTGGTGGTCATGCTCCTACCTTGAGGCCGAACAAGAAGAGGTTGGCGGCCATTTTGTCGGAGAATGATACTATAGGATGGAGTACCTTTGAAAACAAAGTAAAGAAGATGATTGAGGAAGGTCAGAAGGCAGATATGAGGAAATATGGCCGGAGCATTTATCGACATCCAAGGTGCCCAGGGTGTATGTGCAAACACCACCAACCCTTTGCATCCTGAAACTTTGTATATATGGAGTCTGCTGAGGTTGCATCTCATTGGTCTCATTTCTTATATAAATTAGATCTTTACCCAAAAGAAAATTTGAATTGATTTTGTTTCAGTGAAGGCATCCTGGTCTCATTTCTTATACAAATTAGATCTTTACCCAAAAGAAAATTTGAATTGATTTTGTTTCAGTGAAGGCATCCTGGTCTCATTTCTTATACAAATTAGATCTTTACCCAAAAGAAAATTTGAATTGATTTTGTTTCAGTGAAGGCATCCAAATTGATTTTTGACTTGTCAGTATTTTTTGTGTTGATGGTCAGAAACTAAGATTGGTGGTTGATCATTGGGTGGGTAACAGCCTTAAGAGAGATTGAATAAAAATCAAATTAAAATGACAGAAAATTGAAGATTTATGGAACAAATAAATTCTCTATTTATATGAAGAAGAAAATAATCCAGTTCAGCTTTTATAAAATATATGAAAATTGAACAACAAGCAGAGGATACCATTCCTCTGCAACCTACAAAGACAAACATTTCACTCATTCTTCTTCTTCACTCTCACACAAATCTTCATCACATTGACAACCTTATCTGGAAATGATGCTTTTCCTTTAAAACCCTTCTTCACAGTTTAAAAAAAAAAAAAAGGTTTTTATGATGGAGGGAAGAACCGATTGAGGTTGAAAGGTAGGGTGTAGAACTCTTCATTTCTGCTATCTCCTTTAAATGTTCTAAACTTAGCCCACCATGGCATTCCCCTGTCTTTCGCACTATCTTTATAGTCAAGTGTGTTGTCCAAGAACACAGCAACAAGCAATGCAACAGTTGAAGATGAGAAGAAGATAGTATTAAGGAAATCGTTGAACTGCAAAGACAATACAAAAAATAGAAGTTAATTTGAGTATGCCCTTTGAAAGATAGATGATGATGGTACGAAAAAACAATGTATTAAACTACAAGATAATAGAGAGCATCAAACTCACCCATCCAGCCCTGGAATGAGCAGGACCGTGAAGAGCCTTGGCTGAGAACTCTCTGAAATACTCAGGAACTGACAAACCCAAGAAGAGGGCAACCCCAGTAATAAAGAGATTCCGCATTGAGTTCATGTTAGTAAATTGCAAAAATGATAGCCCAACAGAAGCTGAAAATAACACAGAAAGATGTTAGCGTGAAGAAAGAAGCAAAGAGATGTTGTAATAAAATTTTAAGGTGGAAATGGTAGTGGTACTCACACACAAGACCAAACAAAACACAGTAAACAGCAGCAAAAATAGGGAATGGTATTGAAGCAAACAAAGCTCCAAATTTTCCTGCAAATACAAGAAAATTATGTTCGAGTTAAAATTATTTTGTGATCAGAAAAGTCAAGTCAAGGTACTTCCTAGTTTGAACTAACCAAGCATTGAGAAGAATATCATAAAGCCAGCTGAAATTTGAATGACTCTACGGCTCCCAACCCGAGTGCTTCCTAGAAGCCCCACATTCTCCCTGCCAAGTGCCTTGAAAAGATCAGTTTTTTCATGTCCTAAGAGAAGTGAAAACTAAGGGCAGGAAGAAATAGCACTTACACAGAGACTGTTGAGCCTGTCAATGTTCCAAACATACCATTAAGCAAGATTCCAATACCTTGCCAGCCTATACCACGACTCAGAACATGAGCAGGAGGTGGTGTGGCACTTGCTAGACGTGATGCAGCTTTATATGCCCCAGTTGACTGTCAAAGATAAGATTACTTTTCTCCATCACTGACCGACAATCAATTTCTATATGCAAAGCAGAAGCATATACCGATATACGTAGCGTAAATATGACATGACATATGATGATACCTCAATCAATGAGACTAAAACAGCAGCCATCATTCCAAAAGCATGGCCAGCATCAAATGTAGGAGCACCCCATTGAAGAGGGTATGGAATTTTTATCCTGGCCACAACAAACTCAAAAGTAAGTGATTGCCATAGCTGAAAAATATATTTAATCTTTCTGAGAGTATAAACTTGCCTGTACTGTTTATGGCAAAATAAAAAATGTTACAATCTACTCATTAAGTAACTTCCATAGACATTTATTGAGAGAAGTGCCACTCTTTCTGAGTGTATATGCAATTGTTGAGATTTAAAAGATGTCACTAACCACGGAGCAGAAGAAATGAGGTTTGCTCTGTCAGTTCTGCAGTGTATTTGAGTTAATTCCGGTCGGTGTTTGTATGCCCCACTGGCTGTTAGGAGGTGTGCGTACGCCCATATTATTGTGGTTGATATGAGCAGAGCAAATCGCTCTAGTATTGGTAGTTGTCTTATCTGAAAATTTTTCAGGTACTGCAGACAACAAATAGCATATCATAATTAGAAAGCCCGCATATCTACATGCTTATTTACTTTATATGTAAGGCCTGCATGTCCTACTTAATTTCAACATAAGTATCAAACTTCAAGATGATGAAATTTTAGATTGCCAGAGAGCTTTTGTCTTAGAACTTTTATCCATTTTCAATTTGACCTGCAAAGACGTTAGAGAAAAATGAACTTAATTTGTACCTGGGAGAAGGCCACAAACAGAATAAGCATGGGGATTCCAATTTCAACGCAATGTCCAACCTGAAAGAAATTTCAAAAAAGTATAGTAAGTGATACTAACTACTAACATGAGGGAGATGCTTTTAAACTCCCTCATTTGGAATTAGTGATACGTGGATTGATGTTATACCAGAGGGAAACCTCTATCAAATAATCCGAAACCAACTAATGCGATTACTGGAACCATCCCGAGGGGGCTGAAAAACCTGCGTGGAAAATGAAAGATATTACAGTTGGCTTGTCGAATGTGATATTTAAAGTTTCAATTCCTTGACTTTCAAAGAAGCATACCTTGAACAAATAGCCCACAATTGACTATACCCCAAGATAATTTGTATGCTTGATGCTACTATCGCAGCACCTTGCACTGCTCTCATGGTGCTGAGAAATCTCTGCATAAGTATATAACTAAGATCATGAACAAATCATTTCTCTCATGACACTCACAAAATCTCTGATTGGCAAGCGAAGAAAACAACTTCATGAATTGCAAAATGTTTGTGAAGTTCTTCTTCAAGCTAAGATCATACACAAACAACTAGGTTGCAACAAGTGTTTTGCAGAGAAGGACCATCAACAATTGTATCGTTTATAAGCTAGTTTAGCTTAAAGAAATGTAGAAATTACCAAATGTGGGTCCTCGATCCTTTGCAGTGAAGAATCGTGAATTATTGATATAATTGGGACCATGAATGCATAGGAGCCTCCTAACACTGTGGGTAGACGGGTTCCGAACAGAGTTTGCAGAAGTGTATTAATGCCTTCCACGAAAAGTAGAGTCTGAACCACCCTCACTTTATCATCCTGAGACATTAAATGGAAAACAAAACAAACCATACAAGACATTCACATCATCCTGAGCATTCAACAAAACCCAAACAAATGCTTGAAGATGAAGGTTTTGTTATATCAGAATCATCAATTGGATTGGCATCTGAACATGAAATGAAGGAAAACGAATCGAACTTGGGAACGGCATACTTACATCACTTCCACCCATCAAAGGAACAAGGAATGAAGGAATCATCACCGCTGTTCCTAAGGCCAAAATGTAATGCTGAAAACCCAGAGCTATTGACTCCCCTGTGAACAAAGAATCACTCGCATTGAAGAAAAAAGAAAAGAAAATGCAAAAGCGAGAATGTAGGATAGAAAAGATTCAAGCTTGGCATACCCCAAGATGGGTTTGAATCAATACAGTACTCTAGGCCTTGAAGTTGGTCCATTGGAGGATGAGTGATCTCTTCTGGCTTCACGGCTGCCATTATAATCGAATCTTGCTGTGCTACTCTTTTTTGCTCACCTCCAAGTCCTACTGTTTACGGCCCAAAAGAAACAAAAACAGCTCGAGAGAAAGAAAGAAGGAAGAAGAAATATTCTTAGGAACTGCGAGGTCTTTTTGAAGATATGAGCTGATTCAATGGCAGAGGAAGGAAGAAGGCAGCTACAAAACCTGACAGTAAGAGGAAGGAAGAAGGTACACAGTGACGTTGAAAAAAGCAGAAAAGAAGGAAAAGGTTGCCGGAGAAAGTAGAGAGAGAGAGAGAGAGAGAGAGAGAGAGAGAGCAAAGTTGAAATGAAAGATCTTCACTTGGAACCCACTAATGAGAGCAGTGAGAGATCTTGGCGCTTGTTTGTAGCTAGTTCACATCAATCAGACTCTACTATGCTTTTGTATTATATAAAGGTGCCGTTAACTTTACCATAATCCCAGAATTACCCTTTAAGGAACTTCCAAAATTCTGAGCTGAATGTTACCGTTGCATTGCCCCCGACACTGATCCCATGATCCATTGTAAGGCTGTGCGAGTCCGGTTCAATCCAATTTAATCCAATTTAATTCAAGATGGTATTGTGCAGTGCGATCCTTATAAATAGAGGTCTTTTAAGATCAAAATGATTGAAAAAACTAAATTACTTTTTTAGTTGGACTGAACAGGAAACTGAACATCTGGACCATGTGGTTCAATTCAATTCTATTAATTTATTTAATATAATTATAATTAATTTATTTTTGACAAGTGCTTTAAGTATAATTGACATTAAAGAGATGATTGCATGAAGAATTGTTGAGTTTGTTTCTTAAATTATTGTTGTAATGTAGTGTTGAAGTTTGTTAAGTGTTGTTTTTGTTGAAGTCATAAATTTAAATCATTTAGACTATAATTGAAATATTTTTTGTTAAAAATTATTTTGAATTTATCATGATTATAAGTGATTTTATTATCTTAATTGAGTTTATTAGGTTAAGATAAATTATTACCTCTCATAGAGAAAAAAAAATAACTAAATGAGTATTGAACTAATAGAACTAGTCTCACAGTTTTATGAACTAAATTCAATCCTGTTAATCTTTGAGTTATCACTGGACAAAACTGAACTACGGGTTGCCTAACCCAGTCCTTTTTCATGAAAGAGATCAAACTTCAAGTGGGGCTGAAGTCCAATGCCGTCTATTCCTTGATACAGCCCTAACCTATTGATTTTCACTGGTAACTCTATCATTATAAAAAAGTTAAAAATTGTTACAAG